GTTGACCACAAGCGGCGTTCAACCTGTTTTTTTCCCATGCTGAAAGCGCTGGTGGCGAAACGGTCCCTCGGATGTAGTGGTAGCGTGCGCCTTCGGCATGGGTGAAGCGCTGGTTCAACTCTCGTCTGAGGTTGATTTTTTGCTTGCCATTCCATTTTAAAGCGAGAACGCGTAGTTGGCAACCATCTAATACTAGAAAATGCTATTTTCGGTGGTGAAGTGATAGCGCGCGCTCCTGGTATGGATGAAACGCTGGTCCATCTCTCATCTAAATCGAGTTTTTACTTACCACTCCATTCCTCTTGGGTATTATTGGAAATAGAATAACAGCAGTAAAAGCAAAGCAGTAAAAAAAGCATTAAAAACAAAAAAAATTCTGAGTATGAAAAAGCAATAGAAACAAAAGAAATTTTGAGTATGAGCTATCGGTCAGGGTTACGAATCAGGGTTACGATTGAAAAAATGAGTAATTATCAAACCAGACCGAGCTTTGGACCTTTGCAACACATGAAAGGATCTACGATGGATTGAGGAACTCATTTAGCACTACAGAAAGAGTGGAAACTCTGTAACACTGTAGATCAGATAGAATCGAGAAAATCACACCTCGAGGTTATATCCGTCCTTCGTCCTCACACACTGCACACCTTCATAGACTTGGAAACCAGCCGGACAGCATTCGATGTGAAAAGAACGATAGCAGGAATCACATTCCACAAGTATACCTGCAACATATTATAAGGAATTTAGAACATTGGTCTTTAGTTGGAAGTTAAACACGCATCACCATTGAATCGCATGCTAACCCTTACGTTAACAGGGTTTCTACCCTTCTATCATTTTTTCTTCGGTACACTGCGTTAATTAAACTAAGCAGTTGACGGTTGATTGTCGACAGAATCGAGTGTTAGGAAAACAGGAGCCTTGTGCAGTTTTTAGCATGTGTCACTGGAAAGTGCTCAACGTAGTTTCATCTCCCTGCCGACAAGGTTTGAAGTTTTGCAGCATCAGCAACATTCTTGGATATATACTACTACATCATAATACTGGCAAATAACGGACAAGTAAAGAATTCTTATTGTTACATCGTCCGTTCGTTCATTGTAAGAAGTTAGTACTCGCATGTTTCTTTGACAATTCGACTTGACATTTTAACCTAACTGAGTAAACTATTGATTACATAAACAGTATCGACAGAAATTTTAATTGATAACAACAAGGTAGATAGATCAAAAAATCCTTGAAAATAGGAAAGGCACTCTGGTTTTAAAGCATTTCAGTTCTCCCGAACTCATTGACAAATTTCAACAGTACCAACACATTCTTTGATATGAACAAATCTATGAAGATGACCAAACTTGAGCCCAAAAATCCTTTCTATAATTTGGAAGAATCGAAAAAAAACAACGATCAGTGGCAAATCGCACTTCACTAGAACTCCAATTAGTTGAATATTGTCACTTCTTTACAACTGCGAAAAACATTTGATGTAGATGAAGTGGAAAACTGAAATTTCTTCAACCTCGATATTTTTCTCTTTAATGATACAGCGCAATGAGAATAATGAACATCTCAGCATTACTTACAAAGTATAGTTTCTTCTATAATCTAGGCTTAAGCCCAAGACTAAACCATAAAACTGATATTCTGTCGCTTGACACCTAGACAGCATTTGGCTTCTTCAAAGCTGATACGTTGAATCAACCGTCCACAGTCGCTTGACTCCTTTGCGGATCTTCGCCTTCGTTGTCGTTCAAGTCAGATCTTCTCCGGTGGAGCAGAGCTCAAATGGTGAATTACACCAGCCAGAGTCCCTCTATTCAGGACGGTTTGCATGCTGATTATTCAGTGGGCTGTACCAATTTATAATCTATCAACCTCATGGTATCAACTAACATAGAGGAAACTATTATTGATTGGTTATGATGAGGCCAAAGGAAAGTCGTTATTCAAAGTGCATGGACTATTATGCATCGTTTAATTTGTTTATCATTCAAAGGCGAAAAAATTTCTGATAGGAAATTATGTTAACTGTAAATGGGCGACAATGTCTATCTCTATCCAATAATGTCAAGTGATATACATAACTTCGAACCTTGGGTGAAAGTTGAACTCGCGTGAGCCCTTCCAGAGAGTGCGCGCTAACCACCGCACTGCCCGGGTCTCTGTTGTGCTATCACTATTTCTACCTTAAAAGGACACGGTTCTAACAACAGCTAAACGGCAACGATTTAGCCTAACAAGCATATATCAGCACTACAGCCAGCTCTGTGGTCTTAAATCGCGCTAAGAGAGATAGCAGAACAAGTACAGCGATAGTGCAATGGTTAGCACGCTTAACCGGAGCGGTTGAGACACGAGTACAACTATTGCTCGAAGTTCGAAGTTTAGCTTAGTAGTCAACATTATTGGATATATGATTATGACATTGTGTCACTAAAAACAAAGCAGCAGAACAAAAATTGCCCTAGTTCATATCGTAAGTGGGAAGCGAACATACCTCGGACCGAAGTCGTTTTGCAACGTTCCAGATAACACACCGAACAAAAGTGTAGGGGACATATGAGTTCGTCAAAGATTTTTCGTAGACACTCCACACTATACTCGGCCGCATTATAGTCCTTGAACATCAGCAATGGGATACCAAGGGATTTCAAAGTAACTACTCGACATTTAAGAAAGTTAAGTGGCACGCTAAACATTCAACCACAAGCGGGAGTTGAACCTGTGTTTCATCCACATCGATGGCGCGCATTACCAGTGCACCACCGGCGCTGCCGCTTTGCTTCTACCCTCTTCCATTTGAGCTATGGAAGCTGCATGGCTTCTCGCTGCATCGAGTTAGTGCTGCTTATCTCACTCAGGTCTGAGACTTGCTGGTAGCAATTTACCAACTCCGGAGGGATGGATGGCTCGGTGACCATGAGCGCTAAGCGAATCATCGGCCTTGCGTGCGATACAAAGCACCTCTAATAGTTGCGTCACCTGTGCCACCAGTATGGGGGGAAATACCACTCAACATTCTTTGATATCTACAACATCGTAGCACTGCTAAGTGAGAACGAAGAAATCTCATGAATTACACATAGAAATGCATGTATGTGTACATACATCTACGCACATATTATTTTATTATGTGTGCAAACATATATGATCATAGTTTATGGTGCATGTGTCACAGTGGTTAGTGATACTCTGCGTCGCACACAAGGTCGATGGTACGATTTTGAGCACATGGCTCATCAAGCCGTCCACGCTTCCGAGGTCGGTAAGTCAGTGTCGGAGGGCGGGATGGATATATACATAGGGAGGATAAGAACCGACTCGATGGAGCAGGAGGCAATTGTGAGTCATAGTAAACGCCAGATATGCATGCAGTCACCTCCAAGGGAGTTATAGATTGAAGACGAATGCAAGGAGCATCCTTCAGGAATTGATCAACGCCGAGAACTCTATCCTTTTTATCCTTCTACGTATACACAAATATATATATATATATATGAGTGACTGTACACACAAGCGTATATGTATATGTATACGCATGTGCACGTACATATATACATATCTATACATACGCATACATTCGTATATACGTGTATATATAAGTTTATATGTTCATATATATATATATATATATATATATATATGAAAATGGATACTCACCTCAATACATTCCTGATGGAACGTGGTTGTGCAGAAGTAAACAGAAGTGTACTTTTTACCGCATGAGATGAGATTACCACCTTTCTTACCACAAATGAAACATCTGCCTGAATATAAAAGAATTTATAAAGAGATCAACAATCATGATGGAGACAAAAGAAGTACTCAGTAATAATGATAGTAATGAGAACGGCAAGGCACTGTGGCTTGTGAAGTGGTGTATCCAGGCAGCAAGATGACAAGTAAAGCGCAAATTCGACCCGCTCCTCCACTGCTGTGTTGCAATCAAACAAGAGAACGTTTTAGGGCCCAGGTTATCTCGGCTACTTCTAGGAGTGCACGGAGAGTAGTCTTGAGCAGCATTCTACGACATTCGTAAAAAGAACGAGATCCTCAATCAGCACTCGAAGCACATCTAGCACATTTTTACTGCGCATATTCGAGAACTTCCAGACTTCGAGTTGTCTCCTCACACTATCACTGCATAAAAATGTTGTTGGCTTCACAAACAGCGTAGGATACTAGTCAAGTACGTCTCCATGCATTCTCGAGATTAGGTAAGCCGGTGAGATCAGCAAAACATTCCTTATTATGCCTAAAAATACTGGAGGCTATTTGGGATCACTTTTGCGGTCGAGCCGCGCCGAGCATCACCACGCTCTCGGCCAGCGGCGCTTAAAAATTAACAAATAAATATAGTAATGCCACACCTAGTAAGTGTATCGAAAAATTATCAGAAGCCTTGATAGTGTACCTGGGACTGACAATGTCCCCATCCTCCCAGCTTTCCTTGATTTTATTGGGAATAATTCTGAAAGGGAAAATTCGTCCAAATCATGTCTACATGGTTGTTAAGTCTGAGTAATCCGCACCTCTTCTGGACTTGACAGGAGATAACTTTGCGGGAGAATGTTCACATTGTGATGTGTTTGTGTGGTCTAAGCTAAAAAAGCTAGTGAAAAGACAATGATCCTCTAAGGACACAGCAATGTAGGAACCATAGAACAACCATTTTGACCTACGGGGCATCACTCACGACCTTTTTTGTAGATCCTAATAGTGAACAAAAAGACAAATTCGATTGATTACCCAAGGATACCGAGTAATATGCACAATATTCGACCACAAACGGGAGAGAACCAACGCCTTACCCATGTCGGGGTTCGTTCTACCACTACACCACCAAAGCCTCCGCTTTGCTACCACATTTTCTATGAAAATTTTTCCTCTTTTTAGAAGGTATCGAATTGTAAAAGCAACCGACCACTAACGGATTTTGTCTGGTATGCACATACCGATACTCTATATTTAAGAAAGAATGATAGCAGAGCAAGATGGCCTCGGTGGTGTAGTGGGTGCAGCCCACGGAGCCGGTATTGGTTAGACGCGGGTTCAACTCCCGCCTGGAATATCGAAAGCCTCGCATATCACTTAGCATCTTTGGATACATAGTTCTGATGTGATAAGGTTGCTTTAAAAACGGTAAAATAATGAGCCGCTGTAGATTATAAACGTCGAGAGTACAAAGAGTGCGAATTCAAAGATACCTTGTTTCCACGACAATTCCATTGGATGCTGACGGTCCGTCGACAATGGCATAAGTAATTTTAGTGCTTCCTGCTGGAGAACAAGTCATATGAGGTTCTTCATCTACCTTGGTATTATTTAATTCCATTTAAAAAAATACTGATAGATTTCATGTCCAGCATATCTTCCGATGGAGTGAAGTTTTCAAAAAAAAAACCTTATAAAAGAAAGACAGCAGTTTTGCTAAAGCAATATAATAATTTCATTAGCAATAAAAGCATCAGATATCGCTACCAAACCAAAACGCATTCTAAAATATATCTGATAAAATTCATGCATTATTTCCAAGCAAGGAAAACTCGAAAGCTCCTCATAGCATCTGTGAAAGCTCTTACTGATTTATTCCATATTTTCCAAGAATCCCATAGAATTAAATCTCTTTTCATGATTCAAACACAGAAACAGTACAATTTATCTGATGCAATCTATTTTTTAACCCTTTAGAACAAGAACCTTCTCGCTTCTTACACTTTTAGTAGTCAACCTACAGCTTAGATGTCGAAGATCTCAAAAGTATAGGTTTTTCTATAAAAAAGTCTCCCTGAAGGGTTGTAGCAGCCAAAATTGGATCACGTTTCACACTTAATACGCATTTTTTGTTATGTGAGGACTTCTGGTCTTTCAGCAGACAATCATTGGTTATTTGGTAGCATAAATTTGGGTGGTTATCGAGATAAGTTTGCTCCTGAAAAACGTCTTCATAGAGTGCTCGATGAGGGAAAAGTAGACTATGTTTCGCATTCCTAGGATTAGAAGTCAGAGCAAGTTTATTTGGCAATATAAAAAGTAAATAGAAGAGTACGACCATAAAAGAACAAAACAAAATTTATTTTACGATTCTTACCGGCAATGCCTAAGAATGTCTGCAAAAGAGAGAAAAAATTTCAAAATTAAAAGAGAATTTTCGCGCTATAATGTGCGTTGAGTGGGAAACCCAGTTCTATTATCAGCGCTGTGAAGCGCTAAAAATGCCTTTTAAAAAGCAACCATAAAATCAAAATCGCCATGATTCAAGCTGTCGAACGATCACTAAAAGTATGAGGAAAAAACGAGAACGGCTTTTCAGAAAACGAGCATCTTATTAGAATTTCCATGAGTTAAGCTATGCAATGACCAATAAAAGTTTGATAAAAGATAGGGAAAATGACTTATTCCCAAAGAGCTGAAAATGGATTGCGATAACCAAATTGCGCAAAATATCACAGTAATTGTAAGATAAAAATCAAAATTCAACGCTATGATGTGCAATTTCTCACCTCGGAAAGGACGTGACGTGCAGGCCAGTTCCTTCCCATGGCTCCGAGTTTTTTGTAACACTCATCATTCCTCTTGATCCACGAAGCTTTAGCGTCATTAAACTGCTCTAAAAGCGATAGAATAGAAAGAAAATAGGAAATACAAATAGTTCAATCTTTAGTCGCTCAAGTAGGGATCTAACTATGGAAATCGTTACCATCGACTTAGATGTGTGATTGTAAATGCGAACAAAACATGAACGTACTCATATAAACATAAAGTAAAAATACTCGAATAAAATTCTAAAAATAAATAGAATAAATAGAAAATTGATGAGCCCTGTAAAGGAAAAACCTTATAGTTCTATAAACACAATTTGGAAAGGCCACCTAGAGCAGTAGCGCTCAAAGAGGAATTCGATGTTGCATTGCTGGCCGGCTTCACAAGGGTGTTTACAGCTTTGACGATAATCTCCGATGCTTCATGATCAGATAATCTGCTTGCCAAAAAAGTCATTAAGTTTCGGGTGGGAGAAAGACTTTTGAAAAACCAATAAACAGGTTTATTCTAGAATTTCCCACAAAGCTCTCCCATCAAACGCTCATTCAACTATCCCGCGTGCTAAGCACGCTGCTTCCGTAGTAGGCACGCCCGCGGTCGATGTGGGTGGGTGTTCGAGGGTGCAGCAGGTGGTAGTGGATGACCGGGGGAACGTCCCTACGACGTCGGCGCTTAGATAGCGGCGGTTCTTCCCTCAAAGACAAGGTCCGTTTAACGCTGGCAGGATTCAGGAGGTCGTGATTCCCGGATTCCGTTAAGGATAACAAAAAAGGTAAGCCTCGCGGCGTTGATGAATCGCTGAGGGATGGGCTGTGCATTCTATTCCATTCGTAGCATCCACATAAGCCGACTTTCCTACATCTGGCCTTCCCAATGACTCGTGATGGCCTACAAATGTGCCGAGGTAGTGCTGCTGTGCTCCCAGACAAGCCTGCTACCAATTCGCCGAGCCCAGAGGATGGAAGCTTGGTGAGCCTTTGGCGTGGAGTTGAACCTTCGACCTTAGGTGTATCGTGGATCACCTCTAACCACTGCGCCACACACGAGATGATGTACATCACCATAAAAAGTTTGTGATCTCTCAAAAAATCTTTGTTGACCAAGCTGATAGCGAGCAAAGTTGAGTTTGAAAAATTCTCTTCCCGAATGTCCAAAGTCGCTAGTTTTTGAAATTAGAAAGGAAACTCGGTTATTCAACGCTGTGAGATAGGAGTTTTCAAGATTCACTAGAATTCAGGTATAAAACCGTATTTCGATCAGTTTCTTACAAAATGAAAACAACCACAGAGAGATCTTTGAGAGAAAAACAACTCGAATTTTTTCGCCTCTGAAGAAAAGGAAGATGTCACGAAGAAAGCCGAACAAATTTATTTTAATCAGTTTCGAGCTATGAGCTTAATCAGCAAAAAAAAACTATCGTAAAATTTTATAGATAAGAACAGCTTTATTTTTGCAAAAAAAGAAGGACGGACGAAGATGCGTTTTTCTTTATATTTTCAACATCAAACTTCAACATAAGTAACAATAATTTGAGCTCTATTTTCAATTGCTACCTCCTCATTGTCGTTTATAGATTCTTCTCTGTTAGACGGCAACAATTGAATATGGAATCCCATTTGCTGGACAAGTATTTTTCACAAGAATGTTAGCAGTCATTCTAAAGCTTATAATCACTGGCTAGAACCAAAAGTGGCCGTTTCTTCAATCACCCTTTATAACGCTGTAAAATTCAAAATAAAATTACATTTCACGCCCGCCATGAGGCTTGATTTTTATCACGCGTATAATCCGCTAGAAGCGTGAAGATGATATGAACGTGTGAAGCAAATTTCGTTGAATTTGAGTGGATCGCTTTATCTGGAGTTTTTTTTTCGAGGCGGAGAAGAAAATCCCAATTGATAACAAGTTACAAGCCACATGTCTAACACTTCAAGCCATCAACCGATCGCTCCAACCCTGACATGTGGATCAGCCGGTGAACATGCTCATGCGAAACAGTCTTTTTCAGAAAGTAAGCACACCGCTAAAACCATTGAAAGTTACGCTATCGAATGTTTTTTTAATAGTTTGAAGAAAGAGCTTTGCCTGATGAGATGTGAAAGACAATGTTCTCTTTATTCTATAGGGCTATGGAAAAAGTTTTTCTGAAAAGCAGACACATTTTCGAATTTTTCGAGACCTGTGCTATTGCAAGAATATTTGAAATTGTGGGAACAGAAGCACCTTAGAGGAATTTGTGAAAGTTAGAAAGACATGGAAATAAAGCGTCTCAAAGAGAACAATAATTTTGTGAAACTAATTCGACGATCCTCTCCCGAGTTCCACGGACCCAAGGGTAGAGATCCGCGTGACCACTGATACTGCTCCGCAATGGAACGCAATACGAGAGGGGCGAAATCCTCCACTGCTAATGGCTGATGGCAGCAAAGGAATGAGGGGTGAGGCGGCTAAGAGGCGTAAAAATGGCAGCAGAGAAGGAGAGACCGCAGAGCAGATGCGGTGGCTGAGGCACGTGAAGACGGCGGCAGCCGAGGAGGGGAGAGGCAGAGACGCGCAAGGCCGAGCGAGTTGTGGAATTGATCCATCGCTTGTGATTGAGCAAATCAACACTTATACCAAAAGATCAAGAGAAAAGACAAGCAATAATGCGGTCAAATGAGCAGAATATGGAAAATTATGATGATCTGTGGAACACTGTTCGAGATTGGTCCTCTACCTGCCCGCCCTGCCCCCCGCTCGCCTCTTCCCCAACACTCTCCAGCAGTCAATGTCGAACGCTCGATGAAATGCCTGAGCCTCTGCGTTCATGAGATTGCAGGATGTGTTTGACCAATAGTCTACGACCTTCGTGAATAAGATGCTAACAGTACGAAAAGGCAAAAAAAGTGATCAGGATGAAAAAAGTGGTGAGGTGGAAATGAGAGTATTTCGCAAAATACATGATCAAAGATTAGATCGATCATGAGCAACTCTCTATGAGAGTGCTAGTAATCGACGTAGAAAATGGAAGAAAGGAGTCATTGAAGGAAAGGACTGAGCTAGAATGTGGCCGCCTGCCGCGAGCTGTCGCCGCCGCCTCGCGACTGTCGCGCCCTGCGCATTTACCGTTCCGTGTCGTCTCCGCGCAGGACCACATCGTCGCATTCGTTCTTTCGTCCTTTAACTGGCTGACTACTAGGAGCCCAGAGGCATGTCCGACTCCAGGGACGAGATCGGCTCCAACGCTTCGCCCAGCCCCTCTAATCACATCTGTTTTCATAGTTTTCACTATAATTTGCCAAAAAATTTGAGGGACTTTTTCCTCTCAAAGATGCGCTATTTAGAAGAAATGTTTACATTGCTGGCGAGCATGTGGCGCAGTGGATAGAAGTGCTCTGCGTCGTACATAAGATTCATGGTTCGGGTTCGCGCTCACGGCTCACCAAGCCATCCGTCCCTTAGAGGTCGCTAACTGGGATCAAACTAGTCCCAGGTTTGTCTGGGACGAGAAGCAGCACTGTTTCGCTACAGCCGAGGCCACCGCGATTC